TGTTCGCCGAAAAGTGCCAATAAGAAAGGTTATTGGAAAGGAAAATCAAAACGCTACAGAAAACACTTGTGAGGACGTGGCATGACGGAGAGACACAGCGCTACGAGGAGAGGGGAACGCGCGAGAGCACGTTGTATATAGGGCGCAGACGTCACGTAGATGCGTTAAGGGTTCGATCCCCCGTGGCGACTAAATTTTGCATTTGGGTTGGCGCCTACGGTTTGGTGCCAAATCGCGCTAAATATCAAAATCAGATGTCAAATTCATCGTCAGGACCATTTTGAAGCCAACAAGTGGCCGCCAACCTTGATTGCAAAATTTAGTCGCCGCGGAACCATCAAGAGTATTATTCACCACTTTTTTGGTACTACTAAAACCGTTCAGCGAAAACGAAACATGGTTTTGTGGTCCATACATGCGTCCCTACAACATGTACTAAACCGTAAAGCGCACCTTGCCCTGGAAGACCTCCCTGAAGAGAACCACTGCCTTAATAACCTAATCCCTGTGGCTTTAAGACAACGTAACAGAGGTGCATACATACGGTAGCAAAATTGTATAGCTAACTTCAACTTCCAAAGATGGCATAGAAAAATATCAAAAGGCAACAGCAGAATGGTTATTGCCCTAGGTTGACAGACGGAACAAACAATAACACGTTCCATAGAACTCGGTCATAATCCTCCATTGCTCACAAATCGTCAAAGCGGATTACGTGTATAACATCCCAAATGAGATAGGGGTAATGGTCGCTTTGCGAATTTGCGAGGCAAAAGCAGATGGAGCATTTAAAGCAATCTCTTGCTTTAAAGGAGGAATTCACGATTAGAATGAAGGTCGAAGAAAGGGAAACTGACCTAGTTGAGGGACCCACGGACCTCCTGAGGGTGCGAACTGACGCGCAATTCGCATGGAAAAATTTGACCTCGGCGACCTATCATGCCTCAAAGCTGGCGGGTCCGGCGATCTCCGCCCACCGATCATCTGATCACTCGCCGTAGTTCAATACGTGGCGAGTGATTAGATAGCTGAGAGAGCGTAGTGTTGAAGAGGGCATGAGAGTCGCATCAATGCAAATCAACGGGCAAGGAAGGGTACCATTTCTCGGGTTCTGGGCCGTTTCTCATGGTTCTTCCTTCTTTCGTGTACCACTCACCATCCCTAGGTTAATTTGAAATGGGTTGCTTTTTCATCGTGAATTCGTCCTTTAATCTATTGCTCTTTTGAATTTTCAGAAATTGTGTTCACCGGAACTTATGAAAAGGGCTCTCCGAATTTCAGAGATGAAAGTCTCCAACACTCTAATTTATATTACCTTCATTGTCACTGAACTCATTGTTGTTTTGGCCGATATCTGGTTTTTCAGCATCCTGCGTCGATAATCTTCTGTAGGTTTTTCCACTCTCAAGACGCGACTGGGGTTCTGATAACTCGTACGCGATGGAACCAAGCATGAATTGCCAGATACGTGAAAACAGAAATCCGTAAGAGATCTGTAAAATTCCGTAATTGTAATTTCGTAATTCCGTGATTCCTGCTAATTCCGTGTAAATTCTTTTTCAAAAAACCTTAGAAAAAATATTCACAAAAAATGTTGCTACACAGGCCACAAATGTGACGGTCTCATGTACAGTTTTTCGGTATGTGGTTCTTGGATGTTCCTATTTTTAACGACTTCCGGTAGTGATATATACTGTTAACTAGAGCAGCGAAAATCGGAAATGTCGCTTTACCATTGCAAGCCCACTGGGGTGGGCGGATAAAGGGGGGTGGGCGCTGACGAAGGACATCGCGTATGTCACCTGCCTTGGCAATCTTGAGTCTTCTTCCTTTTGTCAACTACGGTCTACTTACGTTGAACAGTCCATATGTCTCAAAGAATGTTCTCGAAATTTTTTAACCTACAGCGGCACAAAAACATTTTTTTTTTGAGAATATCCCTGATGTAGGCTATTCAACTAATCGCTTACGTCTTTTTGGACAAAAGTGAGAGGTAACCTAGCAACGCAGAGTGCAGTCGAAATCGTAGCGGAGAAGGGAAAATGGTTACGGAGAATGGACTGCCTCCCTCAGCATCTTCATGACTCGGCGGTGGCGGGTATTGACTCGGCCGGTGGTGGGCCGTCCTTGTTAGGGTATTTCAAGCGCTGAACCTCCTCTTACCTAGTTCATTCTTGCTATAAATCTGGTAGCGAGCTTGCGTGCCGCGCCATCCAAAATACGCGAGTGGTTAGGTCTCAGATAATGCTCCAGCAGAAACCACCGAGTTACGGGCCGCAGCAGTGTCGGCAGCATATGCTGCCGACACGCCCACTCGTCCGTGATTGGCTACCACCACAAAGGTTACTGCGTGCAGACACGAGCCAGCCAGTCAGAGACTAGTGGGCGTGTCGGCAGCATATGCTGCCGACACTGCTGCGGCCCGTAACTCGGTGGTTTCTGCTGGAGCATTATCTCTGAGAAGTGTTTATTTCTTCGTGCCTTACGAGGTTGTTAGGTGGCTCGCTGTCATCGGTCGTCTTCAGGGCCCAGTTCACGGTTTGAGCGGTCAGTTGGCCATCATACAAGTAGGTTAGTAAGTTAAGAGTGAGTTACTTTAAAAACAGTATTTTCTACTCACGTTCGGAGCGGTAAAAAGCTGAAACGACAAGGAGGCCATCGTGAGCAGAACGAAGACGACCACTCGAGAATTTCTTGCGGATCTCGCTGTCAATCCCATGATTAGTGGTACTATCAAGTAGTATTGTAATTCGACGGCGAGTGACCATGTATGCACGAAGAAGCGATACTTGGACAGCTTGAAAGACAACTGAGTGAGAGTGAGGTTCTCAATTATCGGAGCAAAGAGAAAGCTTAGGGAACTACTGCAAGGAGCGTGAATATGGAGGCGAAACATAAAATTCTTCCGCGTTACATTCTACCATTTCTTGCAGTTTTTGCTTTTTGCTTTCAGGTATTCTGTTTTTTCCAAGCGGGTACCATTTCGCGGCCGACAGGAGCGCCACTCGAGAAGCAGAGATGCAGACGGATATTTTTAGCGGGCGAATTGCTTCCCTAACTATAGCGCTTTGGCTTCAAGTTAAAGGAGGATTTCACGCTATGAATGGAAGGTCGAAGAAGGGGAAACTTACCTAGTGGAGATACAGGCGGACCTTCGTAAGGGTGCGGACCACAAGCGATTCGAGTTAAAGGATATGTTCCTGGCGATTAAGCATGCAGTCGGTTTCGCGCATTTTCGCCTGAAACGCGCCATCGACTTAATCCACTCGCCGCAGGCCTATACGCGCGAGTGATTAGATAGGTAGAGAGCGTTAGCGTTAAGGAGGGCAGTGCGATGAGAGTCGCATCAATGCGGAATATCAACGGCCAGAAAGTAGCCCCATTCCTTCTAGTTGCGGGCCGTTTTCACGGTTTCTTCTTCATCCCTTTCCTAGTGACCACCTCTATCCTTATTTCCAGTAATTTACCTTTGCATCAAAAAACCGCCTTTAAATATAGCGAGAACGTCGGATAAGACGTCCCCCATCGCACAGTTACTCTCCGCTGTCCCTCTGCCGCGTCTGCGTCTCTTGCTCCGCGCGCGTGTGGGCCTGTGTCGGTTACTCGAGTAGCGGGGTGTCCCCCAAGAGGCCCATCGCGCGGCGAAGGAAGAGACGCAGATGCGGCAAAGGACGAGTTGCAGCGCGTGCTGTGCGATATGAGACGTAGTATGGTACACTCTACTTTAAACCTGACGCCTAACCGCTACAGTATGCGCTGCGACTCGTCCTTTGCCGCGTCTGCGTCTCTTCCTTCGCCGCGCGACGGGCTCTCTTGGGGGAGGGACACCCGATCGCGCAACCTCCCAAAAACCGAACAGCTCTGCCTGCGTCTCTATTGAATATCCGCGGCACATACCTCTTTCCGCATCCTGTTCATAAACTTGCCTGAAACCCGTACGCCAAATAAATTACCTGGTCCCAATAGCCCAATTGTTGAAATATCGGTTGCATATTTGAAGAAAACGTGAACACCCACAGGAGATCATCAAGCAACTGTTTTCGATCAGGATGCAAAAGGGAATAGTAACCGTCTGAAAAAAAAACTTGAATTTCTATGGGACATTCAACACCAGCATTGGAATTGCATGTGCTGGATTAAAAGGTTCCACTTCTATTGTGCAAGGACAAGTTTATGAAATTGGGCGCTATCGCCATATACGGAGGCATTCTATAGGAATAAGCTAGAATAGACAGGAAAATGGGGTTTGCTCACGCATCTAGAGTCTCTGCTCCCACGCCTAATGGTAAGGCTCACAGTTAGTCCCGATTTCAATAAAAGGTGACGTTTTACGCGTCAAAGTGCATTGTCACCGCAATGCCCCCGTATCTTGCGATAGCTCCCGCAATTCTATTATTGAAACCAACATATGTATATTCCGACGACGACCAGCATGTAGATAGGTACGATCCGTTTGAATCTGCGTAGATAGAAAATACGAATTGATGTGATTGAAAACTCCTTCTCGCGAAGAATTTTGGTCATCAGGAAACCAGATAGGACGAAAAACCTGCACTCAACAGAAATCATACCATTGAAGAAAACAGTTTTGTTAGATCGGTGTCAGACTTGGCAAATCCACAGATTCGCGAAGTCTGACACTGGCCTTAGGATGTATTTGATTTGACTCACATGTCAACTCCTATGAAGCCGATCCGGAACAATTGCGGTCGAAGATGCATTATTAAAACGTATAAAATTGCAATCCCTCGGATGCCTTGAAGATCCACTCTTTTGGATTGGCTGAATCAATAAGGTTGTTGCATTAGCAAATATTGAGTTCTCCTATAGTAATACAATTTATAGTATCTCGTCGGGTTGGAGGCTCATGCGCATCTACACCCGTTCCATGATCATTTCCCAGTATTCCAGGACCTCCAGGAAAAACTTAGGCAGCGTTCAGAGTTGGGATGGTTCATGCAACTAGGCGATCAAGCGATTAGCGATGAGAAAAGGATAACTGTCGACATCTTGCCTGGTCCCTGGTCGTCTACTGAGAACTTTATGCTTTACAGTACTGAGTGACATGGTCTGGTTAACCGCTTCGTAGGCAAGCCTGCTATATATAATGCACCATGGCTTCCTGTCTGTCCGTCTGTCACGAAATCCGATACTACCTGAAGTTCGGGTCCAGTTCGGAATTGGTAGCGGAAAGGGTCAAAAACTTGCCACCGAGAATCTACGTGTATTTCTTGTATTATTTAAAACTAAATGCGCTTACCGGGTGTGTGACATCTTCTGTCCTTCACGGTCGCTCTGAAGGCTTTTTTGAAGGTTTCCTGAACAAAATCACGATACCCTTGCAAGAGCGAAAACTGGTATCCGTTCGACGGATTTAGTCGTACACAGGGTCCTCGAAATCGACGAATTATTGAGCCACTGCAACGTCGACGGACGCACCACGCATGCGGAGTTTCATGGTAAGACAGGTGTCAGACTGTTGACATCGCGGTAGGCGAATCGCACATGTGCGTTCACAGACATCGATGAAATGAATAAAGCCTGGATTGCAAGCTTACACCACTTCCAACATGTACAGGGGGGGGGGGGCAAAAGACGTCAACTTTTTGCCCCGTGCGCATATCATCAAACTTTTCGTCGCAAAGGATGCCGCTGTTATTGGGAGTTATACGGCGAATTATTCCTTAGATGTCCCCCCATAAGCAGAATCAGGCCCACCTTCGCTGCGTTCACCGTCTCCAGAATATGACGTCATCTGTCATCACCGTCGAGCTCAAGGAGGCCTACCATAATCGCTCCATTCTGAAGCTGCTACATAATTCTTCAATCGGATAACTGGTGAATGGCTTCTTAGGACACTAGCTCTGACTATGCAAAATGGCTTTTGACCAGCGTTTCAGAGACGTCGTAATCGTCTATGGTTTCGACGACGACCCCGTTGAGCTCGTACCGTGCGCCATGTTTCCATGGAACAACTCGCTGATTTCGTTGGGTGTAAAAAGCCCTATGTTTGTTTTTTCTCGCCAAAGTGATAATTAATTCTGGCTTTGGATGTGACTGCGAGTGACTCTTTTTTTCCTGCCTCCCCACCCACCTGTTATAACGTTCGCGTTTTGGAGGCCTGATTTACACGTGCCAGTAGCCTCTACGAAAAATATAATGCTGCATCTACTGGCCCATAGATTTTTACTAAATATATTTTTGAAAATAATGGAAGGGAGGAGTTACGTGACCTTCTGGGACTTCTTGCGTAATCAGTTAAAGGCAAAGTTCAGGCGACTCGCCAAGTTCCCATCAAATGCGTCACTAAGGCGCTAGGGGCCAAGGACTTTGACACGCTCCACCTGTTGCGACACGCTCCGCCCACCGCTCGATATTTTGTCTGCGTCGCAATGCTGATCTGCTATGCTCTCTCTTCTCGGATTTCTCTACCGCTCTCCGCGCTCACATTATCTCTCATCTCCCTGCCGGCCTTTTGAACTTCTCCGCAACGTAGAGCAAAAGGCTCGTATTTCCTGTGTATTTCAGGATTTTCCTTCCTTTTTTCTCCACTGGCGGTCCACCTCCCGCCCCTACATCACATTTGAGTAGAATTACCTCATCAGTTTAAGCTTGAATCTTGCCTTTAAGTTCCTTTGCCTCAAGGGAATGGCGTTTCATTTTCTGCTCGTTCCCGAACCTAACAGGTCCCTTTCGCTGTTGCGTTCAGTGTATGAGAGCAGCTGATAACTTGCAAGTATTGTAACTTCTAAGATTGTCTGATGGCAGCATTATTGCCGAAAGCTTGCCAATAAATTGTGAGAGCACAGGAGCTTCAAGAACAATCTATTTACGATCGCAAATCTAAATGAAGGACTCAGAATACCAGAAATAGCAGCTCTTTTCATATGTTTTTCGTTGTCCTTGTGCCAGTTTAACCGCATTAGTTACCCAAGATCACTTTATCTTGTTACCGTAACTTTTACCCGCATTGTACATAAATATAACGCATGGTGGGAGAATTCATTGTGCACGATCATAATGAAAAATAACAAAATATTTGCACCGAAATTTCATTGCACTGTACTATATCCTTTGAATTATGTGTCCATTGCTGTATACACATACTGTGCAGAAATACTGCATCTTCAACGAAGAAAACGCTGCGATTCCTGAGACGAGTGCCTGGGTAATTTGAAATTTTATCACACCCTCTCACATACCCTCCCTTTCAAAAAAAGAGGAGAGCGTAGGGTGCAGACCGTACACCAGAAGTGACGACGACCTCCACAAAATGTAATATTTTCTGCCAATGAAAGATGATTAGTATGTTGCAGCCGTACTCTATCGTTGTAACTAATCACAAGTATCATTTACCAAAATTCAGTTTATCACTTTGAGCCGCTGCTAACCAGATTTATTGGGAGGCCGTCGTCAGTTGCAGTGCATGGTCTGCACTCAACGCTCTTTTATGTATTTCTTGAATGGGAGGGTACCGCGGCTTTCTATAACGCACCCACCAGCAGACCTTTATTTGAAGCGAGAGATTACGATCAAGTGTGTACAGCATGTAATTACGTGCACCAGTGGAAGAAGTAGCCAGGTGCCGAAGGAGGCGAGATGGGGTCTTCCCGTGGCCCAAAAGTGCGCTAACTGCAGTGCTCAGGGCTGCTAATCCTTTCTGAGGTTCGTCTTCGCCTGCTACCCCTCTGTGTTGCCTGTAACAGCGCCATTTTTTTAAACATTTTTTTCTTATTTTGAAAAGGTATTTCACTCCGCAGCCTCTTTCTCTGGAATGGCGGCATAAATGAAAGCATGGTATGTAGCCTCTGGCAGAGGGTGCTACCGTATTAACTCGTACCGCAACCTTGCTGGTAGCTGGCTCACACATTATCAGAAGGTCAACGAGCAAATAATTTGGTCTTTGTGTTCTTGACGAATTTCTTTGCTTTTTCACCACTGGCGCATTATTCAGCATCCCCATCATATGAACCCAACCCAATCTTATCGCAATCCCTTGCTTTAAAGACACTGCCGCGCTCTCCTGAATTCTTCAGCTTACAACCCATTCATCCTCTCGAAGAATGATTAGGACCTTCAGTTAAAAGTTTCGGCGCTATCGCAGTATACGAGGTCATCCTCTACGGCTAAAGCGAGGAGGAGCAGGAACTTCGGCGAAAAATGTAAGGCCCGCTCACACTACCTGGAGTCTTTTTTTTGTTTTTCTTTTTTGTCTCCCTGCCCAAGGCTTGGAACTTCCTCCTTAGCCCATTCCGCGACCGCGCCGGTTTGCGCATTAGCAGGAGAGTCAGGAGATTTTTCTTCAATAAAATTTGAGTGGATGGAGATTCCCCGTGCCCAAGTCTGGCATAGATGAATGAGGGTATGAAGATTCTTTTCAGGAAAGAAAACTTTCCAAATTCCATTTGAAACACGGCAGCCACCGGTGGATACCATTGTACAAGTGAGATCTTTGTCAGCCACCGGTGGCTGCCATTGTCACGAATGGGTTAACAAAAAAGAAACGTTTTGCGCGATCGTGAATGCATTTCCACCTCAATGCCCCCGCATGTTGCGATAGCGCCAGTTTCTAGAGGAAGCGGGCTTCTCTTCATAATGTATTCATTAAAAATCACAAAAACTATTTCTTTGGATGAAGTTGATCAAATTATCACAAAGTAAGCAATGGAGAGCTAAAGTTTCACGAGCGTCAAAAACAGTGAGTGAGCACCTTTCAGTCTATACGAGAACATAATAAAAGTAAAATAACGAGGATAGATTCAAACGAAGGGGTTATCGATCTGAGACTGCGAGGGCACAACAATGGTGTATTTGTGCGGATTTGGAACTGGTTTCAGATAGGCTGTCCTGCCTGGAATATGGATATGCATGGGAAATAAATAACAATGACTAGTACAGGTGAGTAAAAATTGTACATACCCGTATGGAACTTATTTGTGAGAAGGTGTAGTCTTATTGCGCAGTCAGTGTTGAACTTTAGTAGCTCTTATTCGTCTATAAGTTCTCGATACTCTTTCTTGGACATTGCCAGCAACGAAGGAAAGCGGGCTACATGATGGCACGGAATTGACGCTGGGAAGAAGATGAAGGTGAACGAAAAAGAAGAAAAAAGTAGCAGAAAAGATATAGTTATGACTGATATAAGTATTGGCTCGTTCGGAGAGTTTCCTCCACTTTTGACCCTCAAATTAAAAAGCGCATATCTCTGTTCGAACAAAACATTGTTGATCGAAATAAAACTTGTTACAATCCCTATACCTTCACACAAAAGAAGTGGGTTTAATAGATCCGGATGTTAAAATGATATTGTTGATGATGTTAGATGATGTTGATGTAAAATAAAATGAATGTTGGAACTGCTGGAGTTCTGCAGGCGAAGAACTTAGTGAAGGTCGTTTTGGCATAATGTTGAGACTTAAAGGCAGAATCTTACGATGAAAAGTTAGCTCATTGGAAATAAGGGTAGAGGTGGTCAGTGGAGCAGGGATGAAGAAGAAACCATTTGAAACGGCCCGAAACCCGAGAAATGGGACCCCTTCCTTGCCCGTTGATTTGCGCATTGATGCGACTCTCATCGCTGTGCCCTCTTCAACACTACGCTCTCTCTGCTAAATCACTCGCCACGTATAGACCTGCGGCGAGTGATTAGATAGTCGGTGGGCGTACCCCGCCAACCGCGCCAAGAGTGAGCCATGCTAGATCGCCGAGGTCAAATCTTTCG